CGTTTTGAGGTTGGGGGTCTGGGGGGGTGGGAGTTGACACGGAGTCCGACGGAGTCCGTGCACGGCGTTCGCAAGCGTCCGCGGCCAAACATCGTCGCGAAACGCAATACCGTCGTTGCATTTGGACTCGTGTTGCGTTTTCGAAAGCGTCTCAAAAAAGTATCAACCGTCTCGGGGACCGGGGGAAGGGTCGTGGTCGCGAAACGCAGACCTGTCGTCACCTTTGTACTCGCCCTTGGTCCTCGCTGTCAACAGTCACGGGGATGGGGGGGTGATCGTGGTCGCGAAACGCAATACTGTCGTCACCTTTGGACTGGCGTTGAGTCGTCGCATGTCGAACGTGTCAACAATCTCAGGGATCGCGGAAGGTGGTGATCGCGAAACGCAGAATGGTCGGCACTTTTCTGAACTCGCGTTTGATCCTCGCGTCTCACAAGCGTCAAGGCTCACAGGGATCGGGGAGCTCGTGGTCGCGAAATGCAAAAAGGGGGAGAGAAAAACGAGGAGAAGTGGGGGAGGAGTGAAGAGAGGAAATAAAAGAGGAAAAGAAACAGAAGAGAGGAGAGGAGAGGCGAGGAAAGAGGATTTCAGGCCACGTGCCCCAATCATACGAGGAATACCGCTTCCTATATGAGTACGACGCGTACCACCAGCAGTAGTGATATTTGTATTAATTGGAGAACCCTCATTGAGGACGGTCTATCATAGGGGTTAGGATTTGAAACAAAATGCAACATTAACATTTCCAAGGGTTCATTCAGACAGTCAGGCAGTCGACCCGCACGCCTGTGGGAAAAGGTTCTCACCCTGAATTACCAAGGCATGTATTATGTGTGTGTTTGCGTGTTGTGCATCATGGTACAAAGCGAACATACAATTTCAAGTTCGACGGCCACGCCGTGAACATCAGGAACACACTGTCCGTAAACCAGCCGAATCCACATGTTGCTGCTGCAGGGAGGTTGATTGCTAGGGGCAATACTGTTGTGGAACCATCCTTGCAAACCACGTTGCGACAGGAGGGCTTGATCCAGCACATTGCCCCAGACTCTTGCGTCTCGCTGCTGTCCTTGCACCATCTGGGAAACTTGTACCTCGGTGGCAGCTACGAAACCTGTGAATGAAGGCGAAACCCTGCAAACTCCAACCGCAACACTTGTTTATACACGCACATATATATATACACATATATATTTTTTTCCCCCACCTTTTTACGGATGCCCCCACCTGAGTCTTTCCGTCGGGGATCGTCGGGGCCTACCTGCTCTACGTTGTTGCTCGGAAGCCGGCCTTTTTTCCCCGTTTGCAGCATCCTGGTGGGTCCCTATGCGCAGCGCGCCAGCGTCAGACAACACGCACCGGAAGGCGGCTGCGGACAGGCATCGCCGGCCAGCGCGCGTCGGCGAGGAGTTCATGCAGGGCGGGTTTGGGCCCACCAGCACTACAGACCCCGGCTGGAGGATCCTGAAGGCACCTTAAAGATCTCACGAAAGCCAGCATGCTGCTCCACTTTGCGACCCAAGCCACAATGGCAGCAGCTCGGAGAGAGGCACCGATCTTATGGATAGGCAGGGAAGGTCCCATTTTTTCTGGGCGACGGTCATGGTGCAAGCCAACACATATCACCGCGCCAGCCTCCTGGAACGCTAGCAGCCCTATAGACGCCGGAGCGGTTCCCTTCTCAGGCCCGCGGATGTTCAGCCGATGCACCACCGTAGAGTAGTTTGCTTGTTTTTCGCGCACTTGTTTTTGCGAATGTCAACCGACTGTTACGGTGGGGCCACCTCCCCACAGCTCCGCGGCGGGGCGCCGTCTACCTAGGAAAAGGAATGCCTAGGAAGGAGATCCTAGGGGGTAGCTTGGTGACGCTAGCCCTCCATGGCCCCCCCCATCGCCAGCGAGCGGCGGCTCGAAGAGCGAGCTGTTGGACCGAGTTTTGCTTTGACGGTTGCGTTTTTCGGTGTCAAGCGTTTGAAATTTTTTTTTCTCTCAGTTGATTTTTGTACAACGAGGGCCCGCACGCAGTGCAAAACCCCAAAGTTGTCCCAAACCAACAAAATCGGCAACGCTGCAACAGCTGCGGCAAAAACTTTGGAAGCGGCGACGGCGAGGGCGACAGCCCACTTGCTGAGCACAAGCCCGCACTGCAGGAGAGGGTAAACCGGTCGAGGGGCCCCGTTTCCTACAATCTACCTCTTGCCACGTTTCTTGTTTTCATTCCCAATGGGCGAACATTGACCACATTTGGCTGAATGGTTGGTTGATGAACATGACCTAGAATGATGAGACGCGATTTTTTGCATCAAATGAATGAAATGATCTGTAATGATCTAGAACGATGAACAACGGCAAGCACGGATGGCCTAAAGAAACGTTTTTTTTTTTTTTTTT